TCGACTGTTTATATAGTGCGTATATATCGTCAATCTTAAAGGTTAATATTATTGGTCACTTGTTCTGTTACTTATAAAGTATTCAAAGCTCGTTTCGTGAACATCCCATTTTTCTTGAACTAATCATAATGTCAATCGCGTGTAACAATGTGGAATATAAAACCATCACCGATACGTGAAAACCCTTCTTTCTCGGCAATCTCTAATTCTTCGCTTGCACAATAGATTCCTTGTCATAATCACCGTCATGGTCAATCAGAGAGGTAACGAGAATTATACGAGAAGAAAAGTCATTCCTTATGTAAACCTAATAATAGAACTTGATGTCATCGATCTCATCTCAGACGTATACATTGCCGCTGTTGCTCGTACTCCACTTGGGGGATTCAATGGCTCTCTGGCTTCATTATCTGCTATTAAATTAGGAAGTATTGCTGTCGAAGGTAATATAAATGATTAATATCTCTTTACCATCATCACCCACCAACCCCTTTGACGATTAATTTGCTAACACCAGTCGTATTATTACTAGCTGCATTAAAGAAGGCCAGCATTGCGCCTGATCTCGTCGAAGAAATAGTTTTCGGAAATGTCCTCTCGGCTAATTTAGGTGACTTTGGATTTGATCCGCTGTGGGGATGTATGCACGTCGTGGGCAATATTTTTTCTTACTCTATGACTGTTTTTGTTCAGGTCAGAATCCTGCACGTCAAGTAGCTTTGGGAGCTAACCTTGGCGACAACGTTATCGCGACAACCGTAAACAAAGTCTGCGCTTCTAGCATGAAAGCCATAATCATTGGGGCTCAAGCAATCATGACTGGCAATGCAGATGTAAGTTGTTTTTTTTCCTTCAAGTGAGTTGACACGATACATGTTTTTTGATTGCTGGGAAAACTCATATCCAAGATGCTTACAGATTGTTGTAGCTGGTGGGACTGAATCAATGAGCAATACGCCGTACTATGTTCCCAAAGCACGCTTTGGGTCCAAGTATGGTGATCAGACTCTTGTTGATGGTATAGTCAAGGATGGGCTGACGGATGCGAAGCATAACGAGATTATGGGAATAGCTGCTGAGAAATGTGCGGAAAGATACCAATTTACTCGGCAGCAGCAGGTAGATATAACAATTTATGCTGTCTTGTATTTTTTTTTCCTTTAGATAACCCGTCAACGTTTTCTTAATTTATCCCCCATAAATAGGATGATTATGCAATCTCATCATACCAACGTGCTCAGGCAGCGTTCAAGGCAAACTACTATGCAGACGAAATTGTCCCTATAACAGTCTCTGGAGGTAGAGGGAAGCCCGATAAAGTTATTACACAGGATGACGAGATTACCAATGTCGGTCTTTTTGCCTTTCACCCTTGACCCTTTACTGTCATTCAATTACTTACTTTTTGTTTCTAGCTTAATATTGACAAACTACGCGCAGTGCGTCCGGCCTTTGTTGACAATGGTACAGTGACCGCACCCAACTCATCGCCGTTGAGTGATGGAGCTGCAGCAATTGTTCTCATCAGTGGAGAAAAGGCACGCGAGCTAGGCATCAAAGTTGTTGGCAAAATATTGGGTTGGGGTGAGGCTGCTCAGGTTGGTTGATCTCATCCGTATTTACGTAATTCTACTTTTTAAAAAAAAATTTTTTTGGCATTCATCCGATTAATTATACTAAAAGAAAGCTCGTGAAATCTTGCATTTTTTAAATTCATCAGCAACCTTTGGAGTTTACGACAACACCTTCAAAGGCAATTCCGAAAGCTTTGAAACATGCCAACATTCCAGAGTCATCAGTTGATTACTACGAGATCAACGAGGCCTTTTCTGTTGTTGCTCTTGCCAATTTGAAGCTTCTTGGATTGGATGAAGAGAAGGTCAACGTGTTTGGTGGAGCGGTGGCTATGGGTCATCCACTCGGATGCTCAGGTGCAAGGATTGTCTGTACTTTGCTTTCTGTACTTCGACACAAAGCAGGGAAGGTTGGAGTGGCCGGAATTTGCAATGGTGGAGGAGGAGCAAGTGCTATTGTTATTTCAGCAGAGACACAGTAATGAGAAACTGTTAATTAATTTATTTGTCACATTTACTTGCCATTATAATTAGAAATCTTGGGAAAGCTAGCACACTAAAAATACGCGATCAATTACAATGTACTAATTTTTTAAAATTAAAGAACAATAGTTGTAGACACGTATGAACAGACAAAGTGAATTTCAAATCACTAAATTTAAGCATACCATTCTATGACTGTACGACAACATTAACTTAATGTTAACAAAGCATTGATGCTCGCTCATTACTGACATTTTTCTTCCTACACGCTTTATCAGTTATTGTAATCTGAGACATTAATTAATGTTTGGAACCATGCTTTCATAATGGAATGATTGTATAATAAAGTTTTTCGCGTGCTTCAGTGTTAATATTAGCGAGTTTTCCAAAATAAAAGCATATCAACAACTGAAACTTTGGGCTGTTGTGTAGGAATGTAATATTTATATGACTTTATTGCCAAGATACAATAACACACTAAAGCTAGTTTTAACATCAGAGATACAATAAAAAAGTGGCAAGTGAGAAGGCCTTACATGAAATGTCAAAGTCTTTCGGAATTAAATTCTGAGTAGTGTTCTAATTAATTGTATGAGATCAATGAAATGTGGATGATAAACGAATAAATTATTAAATTTATATTTTTACCCTTTTAAAGGGTTTTAAATTTTCATATAGCTCGTTTATTTTCGTTCTATAATCCCCACAAATGTTAAGCGTTCGACAACACTCGGCGGTGATAGAACTTGAAAAAAAAAAGCATAACTGACTTCAGAAAAGGGTAATTGTAATAAATAAAAAGGGATGATGCAAGGTATAGCTGGTAATTTAATCGCTAATCCTTTGAAGTTGATAACATCGTTGTTGCTCGGCTTTTAGGACTTTAAAAGAAGCTTTACTGATCTTCCGGCCGCTTCATTTCTTCTTCCGTGCAGCCTTTGTATACTGTCCCAGGTAATGCGGTGCCACAAAGTCTCCAGGCATCAATTGCGAAGTAATAGTAGTAGTAGGTCGTGTATGTATATGATGGAACGGTTGGTTGCGCCGTGTAGTGTATGTAGTGTAGTATTATAGGACGGTTCCATCTTTTCATGCTCTAATACTCGCCCGTTTCTAAGTCCATGATAGCAGGATGTACAACCGCGTAGACCGAGCGCGTCGTATTTATATTAGATCTATTTCCGGATAACGGATAGAAAGAACCACGTGTATCTTATATAATTTGGGTGTGGTATTAGACATGGTGGAAGTGTTCGTTTACAAGCAGCCATTCCTGAGTTATTGCTTAACCTCAAGTATCACATCGATTTCTCTGATGGGATTAATCTGAGCCTATCAGTCGGGGAAATTATCTCTCCACACTAACGTTAAATTAAACAATAATCCTGATGCAAAGATCCACTTCCAACTATCGAGAATAACAGTGGTAAAAGAGTTCATCAGCAACAAGCACCCAAAGTTTCACTATTGATGGTTCGGGGTTCCCTACTAATCCAATAACGGTTGAATTATGAAACCAATTTACGCTCAGCTTCCCATGTTCTTGCCTGTTTATAGTCAGACTGGTTTCCCTGGTACAGTAGAGGTATCCTCGACCGAGTATAGATGCGACCGCTCGATTTCGTGGTGACATATAAGCTCGAAGTCTGCGGTTTTGTTGTCACCGGACTTTCCTCCCGAGTATTGTGATGTGCCTAGTTTAAATGATACCAACGGTTTTCTGCGGATGATTGATCTATATTTTCAAGAAATGCGCCTAGCACCGAGTATTCATATTGCTGGTTATATCTCTTTGCAGATAGTACGTATACGAACCGCCTTTTTCTTCTTTGCCACAGAACTTTTTACTCAGTGGTATAAACTTGCCGCCGAATCCTAGAAAAGCCGAGCTCCTCGTAGTTTTGGGATTTATTTAAATATATTCTTTTTTTTTTTTAAAAAAAAAAAAAAAGAACCATTCACCACAACATAGCAAATCGCTACTCGAACGATGGTTTTCCCCTCCAAAAATCAGATTCTCGGACTGACTAAAAATTACCCGCGTGATGCCACCAGAGGGCATAATCTTCCAGATCAGTCGTCTTACATAGGAAATGCCTAAACTCGCAGAATTTTCACCGCCCAGCCCAAGGGCTATCGCACTATACAACGCTGTTCTTTCTTTACAGCTGAGATCACGGTGGCGACGACAAGTCTTATTAATTCGTAATAATGTCTGCAAGTCCTTTGAAATGTTGTAAGATTTCCCCATGGTTACATCTTTTCTGGCTTACTAATACATATGGATTGTGTTTGAGCGGTCTCATTCTTGGAAAGAAAACCAGTGGTTCCAAAACCGATGTCACCTTCGACTTAAAGTACGTTTTTGTTCGCGGGTAGAGGAGTAATTCATCATAAGCATTTTTTTCAGAGGGGGGGGGGGGTTCAGGATTTTGTAAACCCGTTTGAGATACAGTCGACCCTCTCTAATATTCACCTCTGTAATATCCACCTCTCTCTATTAGCAACAGTGGACAACGTACTAAGCTATGGTAGAGTGCAAGTCGCCTAGCTGCTTCCTGGGTGATCGCATGCTGCCAGAGTTGTGGTTCTTTCGTTTCGTTTCGTTTCGTTTCGTTTCGTTTCGTTTCGTTTCGTTTCGCCCAATCTTAACCGATACTTTTCAACTAAACTCTCGAAGACGCAAGAGTTACGAAAGATTCTGTGATTACCGTATGTAAAATAATGGTGTATTCACTAACGAGACGTGAACTTAAATGGCTGACATCAAGCTTGATGGTCAACTATCGTACGCGTAAATAAATTTATTACCAGTCTCACGTGTAGAAATTTGCTGAATCCATCAGTTGCCTGAAATTTATTTCCTTTTTGGTATAAACATAAATGTTACATGAAAGCAAGCAAGCAATTTTTACGATACTCTCGATAATTATTCCCTCTCCCATGCGACTCAAAGACTTGGAAGCGGCGCTTCAAGACGTCACGGATTTTGGTGATTCTTCGCTAGCTTTTCCCGCGTTGCTGATTCTCTCACCGTAATACCAACATCTAATTCCTATATTTTCCTTCCAATGAACAGACAACCCTAATGTAAAATTAGAACAATATGCAACAAGTGCTCACTTAGCTTCCCGCATGATTTATACAGCTCAGTCGACTTACGATGATATTAGGAATAAAGTCGTCGTTGACTTTGGGTGCGGTTGTGGTGTGTTGAGGTTGGTTCACGTTTGAGAAAAGGATGCAAGATGATTGACCGTTGACATTGACATTAACGACATTGACGTGTCATTTATTACTATTGCTTTTGCAATGTTATCCGACAAAAAGAGCAGTATCGCAGCCTGTCTTTTGGGGTCAAGGTATGAAAGAAAATTCATATTGGCGTGGCGTTGCTACTCAATCCTTCCCCATGTATCTTACACTGCTTTCGTCAATCTGTGATGATGTACGTCCTTTCTGATCCATTGATCATAACCACACATGCAGCTATACCATAGGCTTAGATATCGATTCGTCTGCCTTGGCCATCGCCCAAGAAAACATCACCGACTTTGAATTCTACGTTGATCTTATCCAAACCGATATTGTAACAGATCCTCTGTTGGGCTTTAGGGGAAATGTGGATACCATCGTTATGAACCCGCCATTTGGAACGAAGAACAACAAAGGCATCGATATGGCCTTCTTAAAGAAAGCGATCGAGGTAGAGAATTTTAAGAGGGGGGTGGGGGTTCATGACGGGTAATAAGAATATAACACTTATTGAGCATAGCCGTATTATACAAGTAGGTAGCGGATCGAGCTGTTTATTCTGTTCACAAAAGCGCTACCAGGGAGGTGAGTCGTATTACTTGACTATCTGTTTAAATAGATTTCATGCTCTTGGCGATTTTTACATCTTCTCGTCACTATCGCTATTAGTATATTCTCAAGAAGGCCAAGGAATGGAACGTAGAGTGTGAAGTTCTTGCTCAATTGAAAGTAAGCTACTCAAAGATTAAAGCATTTAAACTCTACTATTCTCTATGCTGACCTGATCCACCATTCTTTGTAGTTTGATATCCCAATGAAATACAAATTTCATAGGAAAGAATCTGTTGACGTTATGGTCGATTTTCTGAGATTGAAAAAGAAGTAGATATAGATGTGAATGCTAAAAGAAAGGAATTTGATATACGCTGAATGGAAGAACAACAGTTGAGTAGAGAATGTTGCAGTACATTTTATCAAACATAACGTTCACATGATTAGCACTGGTAAAGACTTGGTTATTATTGATTAGCAGGGGCGAGCTGACGGAAAGAATTCATAAAACTGGTTTCTCGACTGTCTCGTCGTCCATTGTACGCATCAACGGCAAATACATATAATATAAACTGTACTATGACATTCATTTATGGGATTTCAGCTCAATGGTAGAAGAACATGGTCAATCGCTTGACCCATTTATTACGTCTTTATCTATGCCTTCGAAATAGTCTTGATGGGCTTTTCTCAAGGAACGATTCTCTGCATTATATTGTATAGAAAATAAGCCTGTCGGAATTGCTCTGCGAGGATCATTGAAATCAATGTGCCCATTGCTATGAGGGCCAGTACTCATTTATTGTTTAGTTGGCTTATTGAGGAAGCTAGTTTATTATTATATACTCAGAAATGATTTGGTATCCCTTCCCTAATTTTCGGGTCGTTACATACATACAGCCACCAATTCCAAAGATGATAAACTCTGCTACCTACAAGTAAATTACGCACTATGTTTTCCAATCATCTATCATAACCACAAAGTGCCAATAAAACTTCATACAATGTAATAATAATAGTAAATGTGACGATGTAGCTGATGAATGCTTTTATGCAATTATCCATCCGATTAAATATTTCTTAACAGGACAATGGGCGTATTTAGTATAAATCCTTAATATTATTATTATGCCTTTTAATTCCCATAATCCTATTAATTCTCCAGCTGGAACATAACCAAGAAAATCCTTGAAACGGTTGACAACGGGAATATACAATTGACAATTCAAAATACTAGGACCTAAGCCGTAGCTTTTGGTAGTCGAGCTGTACAGTGACAAAACTGTAAACATGGTAAATTCTGCACTACGCGATTTTTGTATTTACCAGTCCGCATTATTTAACTACCATGCAACGATATTCAAGTGTGGGTTTCCCTTATTCCAAATCTTCCGAAAAAAAGTATCGAACAGGGGTGGTTTAGATCATAACGCAATCATTGGTTTTAACATGTAATTAAAAGCAAATTCTGATTATCTGTATCAAAAAGACTTATGTAGGCGTACATAGTTTAACAACAATAATAATAATTGGGCAAAATTGTCAACATTAATTATACCAATATCACGATACCATTCGTTGTCAGATAATTTTTGACGTAGCACTAAGAATTGATTATCAGCGCAATAAGAGTCTCCGGCATAACAAACACACGAAGAGTCTCGCATTACAGGCATGTGGTTCTTCTTATTTGAGCTTTGATGATTCGTCCGAGCTGGGGTTGTGAGCCATTTGGTTCTTCTCTTTGAGAGTTGACGAGTTCAGCCGGAGCTTGATGAGTTCAGCTCTGTGAGCTATCTGTCACTACTTGATAATGGATGCAGTAATTAGCAGACTGAAGTTCTAACTTTTAGGTTATAGTCTAACTGGCTTTCTTACTCTTTAGATTCTTTTTTCCCTGCCTGCTGTATATAGTTTCATTTTCCTCTTTACCCAATTCAGTTCAGAGTCTTCAAGTTTCATTGCTTTCTTGCTTACATTGCATTTGCATCCATCCTCTATCTGATGGTGTCAGGTAAGGAATGATTACTGATGTATTAGTTTCATATAATAATAAATAATCCCTCACAGATTACTAAACAGACTTGTGATGCACAGGTAACAGTTCACTTTGTCTGGTTTTTGTTTCAGTCTGCCCATATATGTACTTGATGAAGTGAAAAAGTGGCTAGAAGATAGATTTTCAGATACTATACAAGTTTGGGAAGTACAAGAACGAATTCATTTAAAAGGTAGAAATGTATCAAGTATTTATCCCCAATTCTATTCACTCGAGTTTTATTTTGTTTGGCAAAATACCGTAGACTGCACCCCCCGAAAAAATTGCAAATCAGATATTATGTTGTCACGTGATAAATACTATGATCATATTTCTGATGTAAATAAATAACAACACATTTTGAAGTTATACTGCTACTTCCTCGAATAGACGGATATGCTATTTGGCAGCAGACATTAAAAATTACCAGGTCATTTTAATTAATTTAATACTATGTTTGTGCAAGATCCGTTGTTTATGTTGGGGATCTCTCAGTCAACATCCTCAATCTATATGTTATCCAAATACTAATTAGCTTCATGAACTAAGTATTCACTAAAGATAGCTGTAACCGTTGCATAGATGCTATAAAGTTTAGTGAAAACCCTGTCTTAGCAAATTCATATAGTGCTGTATACATATAAGCTATTACCATCTTAATCTTACGCCCCACAATACAATTTTTAATTGCAGTTTAAGAGTTGAATAACTTGTATTATGTAAGACACCCGATTGCTTACGTCCATGTGTCCAACTATTTACTTGTTCACAAACCAATGCATGAATGTCTAGCCCATTATCTATTATCGCCTGTATAAATTTGGATGTGGCTACTGTTAAGAAAATTAAATTTAGAAATGCAAATGAACACTCTTGGGAATCTATTTTTAATAATATGACGCAAAAAACCATATGACTTGAACGTTAACTTAAACAACCGATTTCTTCTAGACTCACAAATCTTTAACAAATTTGGAATATACGAGCCACTTAAGGTTTTTGTTGTGCACTTCTAATCGAAAAAGCTCCGACAGATTAAGTTATAATAATAAGGATTAAGTTATTCCTTCTGCAGTTATTGAATTTGGTCAAATGTGCATATACACAGTAGTTTTTTGCTAGTAAAAGGTACTTTCTATACAATTGATAATTCGAAGTTTTAATACGTGCATAATATTTAATTACGTGTTCGATAAATACGGTGATCGATCGGCACAACGGGTTAGAGATTAATTTTACTCGTTCTTGCTAGTCAATGTTTTGTGATATCTGTATTCAAACAATGAAATTACTTTTCTGTGAACAGTCGTGATCGTGTTTTACGTAAATTAAATATAAAGTTGTACCACATGTTTGTTAAAACGATACGCGACCAAACTGCTATAAATTTAATCACATGATTATGTGATTGCCAAAAATCCTACAAAACCAGAAGGCCAATGCTTATTATTATTGTACCACTGATTACTTTTTCTCTACATAAACGTAAGTTTTAGATGTTTCAAAAATATAACAGTAGTTGCATAATAATAAGGCATAATTAGTTTTACAAAGTTTCTCAATGCTAATATATTTTTTGAATACAAATCTTGTCAAGTGCTATCTATCGAATAATCATTCTTTTACCAACCTCTTGTCACGTTTACTTCGCTTATTTAATGCGTGTTACCATATTGGGTGATATTTGACAAACAAAAGATAATATACATATATATTTTTAGAAGAGAAAGTCAAAGATGGAAATGTAGGGACGTGGTTAGAGGAGAAAAAAGGACGGTATTGGTTCTGTGGTTGTATAGAATGATTAGAAATCAGATGTAGTAGTAGTATTCGATTGGTCGTGTTTAACGAGTTTTAGCAGATGAGTGTGCCTGCCTGCAAGTTTAATTTCTGTAAAATTAATTGTTTTGCAAGTGTAACTGTACACATGACAATTGATCAGTGATACAAGTAATTCTTTCTTGGGCACACTTAGTTTGAATTAAGTTGGAGATCCGTGCAAGTGACGTCAGTTTGGTGGGTAATATGAATTGTTATTGATCTTATGCTTTTAATGTAATCCAAGATCATTTGTATTACTTCATACTTACAGATTCGTGTTGCGAACAACAATTCGTCATTGATTGGTAATGCTGTATAATGTCAAGGTTATGTGTATCCTACAGTCTCATTGGTATTCATGATGAGCTAATTAATGTGGTCAGGTGTTGTAGTTGTTACATTGACCATATTATGATTAACCTTTAATGTTACTTGCATCAATGTGGCTAATTAGGCATAAGAACACAAAACAACCGGATTTGAAGCAACGGGTTTACAACAACACCTAAAAGACAATATGATAATGAAGAGACGAGCATTGACGCAATGTTTGGTGACATCGGGGATGAATTTGTCCAAAACATGTGCTATTCATATTGCCACGCGAGCAATATGATGTGATAGGTTTAATACAAACCATAGGATATTGCTTTTTATGGTGTTATACATTTCGACGTGTTATCTTCCAAACCAGTTAACTCTGTTTGTTTGTACATGTGGGGATTTGTACTGTTAAACAAAAACTGGTGATCACACACACAATGGATGGCCGTGTTATTAGTAATTAATAAATAGCTCATGTGCTATTTGTTTTAATATTGTTAAAACTTTTTGTTTTGTTGATTCGCACATTAATATTTATGTAATCAAACACAAAGGTCCCGATTGTTCAATACGTATAAAAGGTGATTATTTTCGATGCATTCTTTACTTTCTAATCCTTGATCACCCATTTTAATGTATATCTCGATTTATCGACCCATCAATCTACTTATCACATATTATAACCTATCACCACTACTCTACTTACTCGTTTTCCTGTCCAATAAAAACGATCAGTGCATGTGTTTATGTAACTAATAACGTATCCCAATTATCCAAACACCAGGAAAGTTTCTTGATCGGGCAGAATAGAGTATGGGATCTACAACACAGATGAGTGAACGATAGGTGAAAACGGTAAGCAAGATATGCAGAGTTTAATGCCTGTTACTAGCACAAATAAGATGCAAATTAAAAGTTTAGGTAATACGACTGAAAGTATAAAGTGTATATAGTGTATATAGTGTATATAGTTTATATAGTTTATATAGTGTATACACATATACATACACAGCATATATAATTATTTATAGCTGGTGTATCATCACGTAATACTAATAATATTGATCAACTGCGCTGTACGTGGGTTGGGTGGATCGGTATGAGAAGAGGTTGGTGTACCGATATGTAAAAGTGAGTGAACCTGAATCGGGCAAGAATCGAATACACGGGAATGGCACGGGAGAGAGGAGAGAGGAGGGGGGAAAAAGTGCGTATGTACGCAGTATGCAAAAAGCGTTCACGTGGAAAACAAGAAATGTGTTGAAAAGCAAGTTGTTTGTGTGCAGAATAAAAAAAAAATACACGTTTCCACACCAAATCTTCGTGTTAAAGTCCAAATAGGGCTTTTGAAAAAAGTACATTATTCTATTACTAAATGCGTATCCCTTGCTATGACTTGGGGAAATACTTTATTGCATCTTTGTATGTATCAAGATAACCCTAGCCCTAACCCTGATTTACCATTCACAAATGGCGTACCTTATTCCATGTGGCAGTAATTTACGGGACAGCAAAGTTTTTTTGGATTGTTTCCGAACGGATATGCAAACCGCCGGTAGGCTAATTAATGATAATATGCGACGAACACTTTCTTCCTTACTGATGTGGATAGCAAACATGATGACCATTTCCCGATTAATCGCATCTGATTTATTTTCCCTCGACTAACCCCATTTATCTAGTGATTCAAAAAATTCGACTTGTTGTTTATCCAATCGTGTTACCCCCACAACATAAACATTGCCTTCTCCTCCCCCCTCATTGCTTATGATACATATTTAGCATGTGTACACGTGATACACAACAGAATTGTGGCACGACTGCAAAATTTATGAACTGGAAATAGCAATATGACACTTGGTGAGCACGAGAGAAATAAACAGAACGTGGATGTGCGGATAAACTCCTATCGAATAAGAATATAGGAGGACGAATTAATATGTGTATTGTGGTTGTGCATAGCTTGCTAATATGTGATAATAAATCATGATCTCTGATCAAATATTACATCGAGTATTAGCATTCCACATGATTACATTTAATTTTATTTGTTCCATCCATCCGATAAGAAGAAGAAGAGGAGTATGAGATTTAGAGTTTGGAATGGAAAAAAAGATCATGGAGTGGCCGATTGAAGAAAAAAAAAAAAAAAAAGAGAAATCAACGAACGTAATTGGAACATGTTTTTGAAAATCGAGATAGACAAAAGGGATTAACAGGGATAAACAACACACATATGACCAAAGCATGATACGAGAGTGTGTCATACAGATATATTTTGTTACCGATTTTATAGATTGGGGTTTATATAGAAGGAAACCATTCATTCATTCATTCAATCGTTCAATCATTCAATCCTCGTTCTGCGGATGCTAATTGCATATGGTAATACATGGTCTACGCCCTTGATAACAAATTCACAGCACAACCACGAGCAATGTAAATATGACTTGTTCGTATGCGTGCTGCTCACTACCAATAGCTGCATACTTTTCACCGAACAATGAGTAAGAAACATGTGGATATGTGTTTATAACATGGATAACATAAATAATTATGTCATCTATGTCACCTATGTTATCGGCTATGGTTTAATTCATTCATATTCATTGCTTACTTGTATCCACTCACGCTCATTGTATTTTACTCTTGTTCACCAGTTCACTCATTCATCGTCCTAAAACTTTTCCGGCTTGTTTCATTTTTACCCCACCTTTTTTTTTCTCTCATTCTCACCTGCCCCCGCATCCCTTCCCCTCTCCGGTCACCCATATACCCATTCCTTTACCCCACCCAATTCAGGATGCATTGTTATACTGCATGTCAGCTGCACGTCAAGAGATGAAACATAGCCAACGGTCATCAAACCAATCATACAAAAACGATATGTAAGATGATTAAGCAGTATGATGCCATTACAGTATGTAATATGAATATATAAAGTAATCGAGTATCGCGGCGGTGTCTGTATGCATACCGTAAGACATACAGATGGAGACATTGAGATGCTGTGTGTAGTTTTTCAATGCAGTCTTGTATAGTCATGGGATGAAATATGTACATTTTTAAAGTAATTGGACAATCTAATCAGCAATTAAATTGATGCTCATTATCATCATAATCAATTCATTCATTCTTATCTTTGTTTCATCAGCCAACTGTGCAAGATTGATTACTAATGAATGAAAAAAAGCCCCCATTTTTAGTGGTGGTAAAATATTTTTGTGTTAATTCCTACCATGCTCTGCTCTTTTGTCATCTCTCTCTCGTTCGCTCTCTCTCTCCCTCACATAATCTCCCTCACATAATCTCCCTCTCATAATCTCTTTCTCAGTCGTAGTAGTAGACATCAGCCATCAATACTCTTGACCTACACCGTGGGAATGGACGATTGAGGGAACGTCTGGAATCACAAGATGTCTAAAGCAGTTCTAAGCCACAATGCAACTGCCCAAATTAGCCACAATCAAGCATTGATGGCAACCATAGAGGGATCATCGACTTATCGGTATATCCCCCCTTGAGTTGCATGGGCGCATTATCGTTATGTGATCATCATTATATGGGGTCTATTTAAATTTAATGGGAGGGGTGATGATCGTTTTATTATTATGATCGATGGACACAAGGTGGTAAATAGCTACTGTATAAGATATAGAGTGTAACCATTCCAAAGAATAAAAAGTATAAATAATATATAGTATACAGTACCAATATATTAGTTGATCATACTGTACTAATAATGAACATGTATAAATAACCATAATTATACTGTGCTATCATTTATGATGTAATGAATATAAATATAAATATAGTTTATAAATTGGAACATTCAGTTTATGCATTATTCATATTATTCATTGTGTATTCATTGTACTCTGTATATTTGACTCGCCATTCATCTTCAGCTTGTATAAATTTAATTCACCCCATTTTTAATATTATGTCATACATATCATTACTATTAATACTTTTTCTACAGCAATCATGCCTCTTGACACATCTCTCTTGTCGTTTTCGGCATATCTTCCACGCACATCTGTAACTCATCTGTAAGATATCGTTCCCACACAGTGAACTCTCCAATATAAAAGACTAAAATACGCGACATTTATACCTCACGCTCCCTTGCGCGCGTCTTCGTTCTGTCCCTCTCCTTACGTGCCACAGTCCCAAAAAAAGTATCCGTTCAGCTCTGACCGACTTCCAAATTTCGTTTATAATCTCGCCTATATTACGACTCATCTTTCCTCTCGCTCTCATCCTCACCCACGCCCCCCCCTTCTCTTTTTTCCTTTCTCTTTTTTTTTTTCTTTTATTTCCCTTCTCCCTCTATACGTATAATCTGTGATCTTAGATATTGGCCTCAATCTGCTCATTATCTACTGTACATTACTTGGTCTATTCTTATTCCTTTCAATCACCCACCCCCTCCAAGTCATTAAGTCCTAAACTGAGAGAAACATATATATTTATATATATAAAGGGAAAAAAAAAAGAAATTATTAAGGCTGTTCCCCTCCCCCGCTGATTTACTTCATGCAAGATCATAGGCCTGATCACTCTATGCGCTGTGACATAAACAGCCTCCTCTCAGAGTTGAAAGGTGCGTTAGAAAAACACGACCCTCAAGATGTCTATGAGTTTCTGATCGCTTGTATACGCACAGTCCAGCAAGAAAACAAGAAGGAACCAACGGACCATTTGCGTTACTCGGTAAAAACCTTATTTATATCTAAAACTTGTTCCTATATTAATGATCGATACTTGCTATTATGATTACTATTTGCATCATTCTCCTTCACTCCCCAATTTCCTTTTTACTGAAAAAAAAAAAACACCCACTCACCATGTATGCTGTAATGTGTTAATTCATCGGGTGCCTGCGGAAATCGTTACTTTTTCAATCATGTTACTTTCCCCTGATCTTTTTAGATAGCACCCATGCATCACTTGACAATTCGGAAATTTCACGTCATCTCGTCTATTCGTGTTAGATCCATCTAAACCGTTCATTTTTTGACAGATTTCTCTCCCCTTCTTTTTCGAGACACGTAAATCATAACTGAAATCATTGCGAATTACGTAATTAATCTAACGTCATTATCATCTCGTTCTCATTAATCTTTTTTTTTTCTTCTTTCTTCCTCTCCCCCTCTTTTACCGATCTCTCTCACTTTGCGGATAATCAATCAATCATCCACGGAAACAAAACAATCAACCATACCTTATAAATCGACGCGACTCAATCCGATTAATCCACATTATGCCCTGTGCTGATGCTTACGGACTCCCTCTTAAACCGTATATCTTCTTCCGTGGAACCCGCAGCAGGATATGTTTGGTAAATATCCCGAAGACGTCAAGAATATTGCCTCTGGCGATCGACACGGGAGTTTTGTCAATGGGTCAACGAGTACGTGTGAGGGTGGGGGAGAGGTAGTGGGTTAAGGGAAGGGGACTGCCAAAAGAGTAGATGCTATAGGATGCGACTGGGGTGAAGGGATTGGGGAAAGGGGTGAAAAGACGAGAAAGGTGACTGAATCAGATCATGGAACCGAATGATCTGTACATCAGGGAAGATATTATCATGAATCGTCTCGAGTATATAATATACTAGCGATTATTGTAATCATAAGAGTGTACTCTTGGCAACCAGTCAAAAATGCCCGAGAACCTTTTTGGTAGTTAGATTAGAGGAACGTGAAAGGATCGAAAAAGTTGATCATAAACTGGGTTGTTTCTAAATTTTGTTCGAATTACTAATTCTTACGTTCTTTAATCAATATCAGATGACAGCCGGAAAAGACTAAGGTTAGAAGAAGCTGATCATCAGTAAGTATCTGGGTTCATATTTTACGAGAGACTTATTTCTACGAGAAATCCCCCCCTTCCTCCTCCTCCTCCTCCTCCTCCTCCTCCTCCTCCTCTCCTCTCTCTCTTTCCCCTACCTTTCACATACATATGCGCCGTTTTGCACAAGATCTTGCTAACATGTATCATCGTGTTCACTCTTATGAATCATTAGATCACATATGGACTCCAACGAAATGGACGAAAATTATACTCCGGCATTCGCACCCATTCCACAAGGCCATCGCATCAAACATCCTTGCGGGAAACGTCGTTATTCCGTTAGCGGCGAATCGATCCGTCCAGCAGACTCATCGTTGCCAACACCAATCCACAAGACTCCGATTATCATAAAACAGATCGAAGAGGCAACTCGGCAAAATTTGCTTTTTAAGAATTTGGATCCTGAAACTAGAGAGCACATCGTGAGTATTTGGTGGGGGAAATTGGGCAATGGAAGGGGATGCTTTTTATACGTATAGATTGATGAATGGAAAGAAAAACGCTATATGCTCTATTCACTACTCGCTTTTGAATCGCCACCACTGACACATGTCCATCACTTTCCTTTTTATAAAGTACGATGCCATGTTTGAAAGAACCGTGTTGATGGGCGAATGTGTCATCAAACAAGGATCACCTGCCGAACTCTTCTATGTTGTTATTCATGGATTGTTCTCCGTCCACGTAGATGATGCATTTGTTACCACTGTTGGAAGTGGCGGATCGTTCGGTGAACTCGCTTTAATGTACACTGTAAGTTGAATGAAAGGGGTTACGTGCTTGGATGGGTTTCGAGCTTTATGTGTGTGTGTTCTTACTTATCACTCACATTCACATTTGTCTATCATCAATATTTATAGAATCCACGTACAGCCACCGTAAAAGCCATAACAAACGGTACACTCTGGGCGATAGATAGAACCACCTACAATCGTATAGTAACAAAAATCGCCTATAACAGAAATAGAGTATACGAGGGCTTTCTCCGCGAAGTACAAATATTCGACTCACTAGAGCCTGAGGAAATTGCCAAACTCGCCGATTCTATGGAAGCAGTCAAGTATGAAGATGGTGATACGGTTGTCCGTCAAGGAGAGACCGGGGAACTGTTTTACGTTATTGAGGTCGGGTCTGTGGATTTGGTGAAGCACGATGGAAGACGAGAGATTCAGTTGCCAAGTCTTGGACCCGGAAAGTATTTTGGTGGTAAGTTTGGGCTTTCCTTGTGTGTAGGGTTGATGAGGGGGTGAGGAGATGGGTATGAGCATTGGAAAATACCACGATAAGAAGGAAATCCCTTGTGTGTGGGGTTGATGAGGGGGTGAGGAGATGGGTATGAGCATTGGAAAATACGATAAAAAGGAAATATGTGTGCGAGAGAGAGCTTTTTCAAACGAAACCGGAAACAATGTATTCCGTGTAATAACTACTACTAGATTCTTTGTTCTCTTGGTTTCTTTTTCGCACTCTGTCTATCATGAATCCCGTCTTTACAATCTTTGACTTTTAATTTCAGAACTTGCCTTGCTAAACGACACTCCACGTCAAGCAACAATCAAAGCTTGTGGATCCGTTCGCCTAATTACTTTGAAACGTGATGCGTTCCATCGTCTTCTTCCGGCGACGGTCATAGAAAACATGCGTCGTCACGCTGAATCGTACAATAATGTTTCGACATACAGTGGGGCTGGAGGTGTGAACGTGTTGCACACGACTTAACAACACCTTCGCTTATGAAGTCTGGATGCGGACTATGCTATGAATTATATTATCATTATCCTATGCAAAGAGAAGGGGGTATATATATGGAAAAAAACACAATCGGGGGCGTGGGCTTGATTCTAAGCGGGGTAAAAATAAGGTAAGATATAAGACGTGATATATATATATGTATATGTATATATCATGTGTAAGATGTAAGTATAATTAAAGAGATGGACTGTTTGCGCGCAGTTCATGTCTCTTCTTTTTTCCCTTGCGCGCTTCCCTAATTTCTTCATTCCTCCCTTTTTTTATCCCCTCTGTTTTTTCAAGCCCTTCACCTTCTCTTCTCGATTTTCCATTTTATTCCCCCTTCTTTAATATTGTATTTTTAGTTTGATTTTTCACTTTTCGCATTCATTCTTCAAACCTTCCCCATTCTTTTTCGATTTCGCAATTAGTCAAACGGGCTAAACTTTTTAATTTCGTGAAATTTCTTTTTTTTTTATTAAACATATGAGAAACCGGCCCAAGATTCTTACACTTAAGCTATATCATATTCCTCTAGAGAACTTCCCGCCACTACATAAGCAATCCCCAAGTAAGGGGATATATGACATATTATACATACAAATTTCCTTCCTATAAGATGGCGGGTTGTTCGTATTCTCCAGGGATTCTTATAACAATTTCACCTATGAACAATTTCACATTTTATTATTTTTGTTGTAATAAAGTATTAGGGTATGTCAATAAGTTCGTATATATACACCACATACAATGTCAAATGCTTTCACAATCAAAAGTTATCAGAAATGGCGTTTACCTCGGCTTAGAATTTACAGTGAATATTCATACCAAAAACAATCCAATTGATTGGGAGTTGCGAAGGTTAAAGCAACGAGAGGGTTCTCCGAGTGATAGAGGATTGCGTTAAAGGGAAAACGAGAGGGTTGCGAGACTTCTCAACACAAAAGAGTGAATCAATGGTGGTCAATTGGATTATTGGTGAATCGGAGACGGAGCACAGCTGAAGGCATAATATATCGTTCAATCGATAATATGTTTCGAATACGGTTTGTTCTTCGTGTGCTGTTTTTTAGATTAGTGGTTTATGAGGTGAGGACATAAGCAATCTCCGTGTGATTGACAAAGAAGAGAGGCTGGTCGTAAGAAAAAAAATTACAAAATGCAGAAGTCACGCCTTTTCAAGGTTTTCCGCATCAAGACGATGTTACCTCTCTATCGGATGCACCATGCGCCTGCTTGCCTTCTGTAGATACGATCGGCTATATAAGATGCTGCGTGCTAGATGATCTGGATGAGTCGGGTAACTATAAGTATAATAAGGATGGGTGTATTATGTAGGTTTTTGAATATGAGTTTGTGTTATGTTGTTCTGTTTGTGTATATGTATATATATGTATACATACATGTACATATACGTATAGTTATATGTGTATGTTTGTATATATATATAAATGTATGTATGCTGATTGATGTATGATAATATTACAAGACGTACACAGAAAAGAGAATAGCCTAAATGAACTAATAATATACATAAACATACGTAATATGCATAATATTCGCAGCATGAAATAACATAAGAATGTGTGATTGCATATATAACATATGCTCTCCTGCATGACTCAAGTCATTAAAGAACATCTTTTAAACCACCAATTCGTAGTAAGAAGGAAAAAAAAATCTCTATCTTTTTTTTTTCCCCGCATTGCATAGCGTTTTACTTGGTCATAAATATTCGCAGAATCCCCGTTAAAATATTTCATACATTATGTATAACATCCATATATATCCACAACATCCCCATATTGGAAACGTAGTCAATGTACTATTAACCGTCAACAATGACTAATTGTTTGTATTAGTTAGATGAAAAAAAGATGGTACGACGTGTCATCTAATGACGGCTCCACGCGTTAAATTTTGTCGCGCCGGTTATATACCAATTAAAGTTTAGTTCCGAAAATCTGGGATGTTGAGATCGGCGATAAGGAGTGTTAATAAGGGTACGATCAGGTGATGTGTAACACGTTAACTTGAGGCGAGGTTGTGGAGATGAAACGGTTAAGACAATGGGACGATAGTAAGAGAATGACGCAGCGACAACGGACGACGACAACGACGGACGACAACGAAGACGACGACAACAACAACCATAACAACCACAACAACCATCACAGCAACAAAGACAGTTATATATAGAGCAAAAACGGACCCAAAGTCAAGTAATTATCCAGTACATATGTTACATGATGACATGAATGGTGTGAATGGATGACAACAATATTATAAAAGCATGAATGGGGATAAATGGCGTGACAAAAGCTTTCAGGGGTTCTTACTATTATTGGCCGGAATAACATTAATGCCAACTAGTCTGCTTGCACAGTGAATATTTTATTATTTACCGGTTTGCTTATTAACGACAAAACCCCTCTCTCTCCCTATTACTCATTATCCGGACATCCGAATCTGAGGATTCAGACATCAGAACAAACATGAGAGACAAACAAGTGGCTGAAATAATGTTAACATGCGAACGAACATTCTACGTGGGAACATGTACCTACTTTTTGTGCATGACATTTTTTTTGATGTAGTTGACTGGTACGTATCTTTTTTTTTTTCCCTTCTTCCCCTCGGGATTAACTCTGTCACGCCCGGAAGCGTGATACGGCTGATTTCTCTTTCCTGTTTAAGCTTACGTACTGCGTACAAAAAGCGCTAATGAAGGTAATAACAAAAAAACCCCTGCGCCACTGTTTTATTTTCCTGTTGTCAATGCAAAAGAGAAGCTTAACTCTGCCGAGAATGACAGAGGGAGAGGGAGAGAGAAAGAAAGAAGAATGTGTTTCTGCGTTTTGTGTGTGTCTGTGTGTCTGCGTTTCTGCGTTGTCTCTCTCTCTCTCTCTCTCTCTCTCTCTCTCTCTCTCTCTCTCTCTCTCTCTCTCTCTCTCTCTCTCTCTCTCTCTGTGTGCGTGTGTGCGTGTGTGCGTATGCGTGCGTATTCAACCATTCATCATTTTGTTGTTGTAGAGCGTAACGATCTTTTCAAATCCGAAGCCAATTCTCGTTGATCAAGAACTATGTGAATCGCTTGATTTCTATTGTGCCATTGATTTAGAGCCAACAGGGGGTTTGATTTCAAGTCATCAGATCATGACTAGTCTTTAATGACTAACCGTTGTTCTCGTTAGTCGGTCATGTTTGTATCTTGAACCAAGAAGGAAAGCGTTGCTCAATTGGACGGTATCTTTCGTAAAACCCCACCAGAGCAAGTTTCCTTGCACAACAGTTTCATTCAGATTAATGTCTGTTCATCTTTCAAGTTATCATCACTATTACATCTAAGATAATGGAAAAACGTTTCCCATGTTTCACCGTAACCGGGACATACTGGTATGGATTCTGAATGCTCTTTCCATGTTTCACCCGTAATGCTAAAGATGTTCTTAATGGAAACTCTATTCAAGTTCTCGAGTAACATCGGTGAAACGATTGTATTTTTGGTGAGAAGACGTCCACAAATTAAAACTATTTCCGTTAACGAAAGCATATAGTGTCTATGTTTATTAATATACACAAAAATTTCCAACACCTATCGGGGGAAACTAATGCCCCTTAAAATCCTCTTCTCCGATCATTCAAACGTAAGCCTGAACTGATTACTGGTTTGTATTTCGGAGGAGGAAAAAGCTTATTCTTTTTTCCGCAAGTGTTCAAAAATTGATCAGTCAAGACGCATTCGGCTGGTTTGGATTCGGAAGAAAAGTTTTTTTTTTTTTTCATGAAACAACTGCGAGTGTTTAAAAAGTGATCGGTCAAAACGCATTTGGCTGAGTTGTATTTCGGAGGAGGAAAAGCTTTATTTTTTTTTCATGAAACAACTGCGAGTGTTCAAAATGTGATCAGTCAAGACGCATTCGGCGGGATCAATGCACTATACTACCGGAAAGATGTGAGCGTCAACGAAAGCATCATACTCACTTGAGCCAGTAATCAAAGGCGAGCAAAAAACTGTATAGCATGTAATCTGCATAATCGTTGATTCTTGAGTAGCGTTATTAGGGCATTGGAAGAGAGTGCTGAAGGAGGTAATTAATCGAACATGTCTATGACAGCTTTAAACTTTATGGAAGAATCGCTATGAGACTATAAGCAGGTGTAAAAGTTCTTCAACCTATGTGTGTAGGAGAATCTAACCAGTCGTTTTATTTAGCAACTCCTTCCCAGGAGTCCTGATCTTGAAACTCAATAGACTATCTGCATAATTTGAGAAGTCAAGAAAAGGTAAAATAGCATTTTAAACTAAACTGAACGAGATGTAGTGTTAAAACGAAATCAATAAATTAAGCGCATTTACCGAAGAATTGACATATCGGTCGGCGTACTTATTTCTTATTAATTGTTTCATTAGTTAAACCGCTTTTTAAAGATCTAACTTTTTTTGAACAGTTATTGATTGCAGGGATCGATGCAAGTCTTATTAGGCCAAGCCTCTTTATTGTTTCAGTTAGTCTTGTAGACATTTGCTTTCTCATGTACTAGCTGTCAAAAAAATAGCTTTAGCAGTTTCTGTAGTCGCATATTTCAAGAAATCCAACTTGATTGAATGCTGAATGTCATTCACATATATTGGACCAGGAGGCACTGGAACAACAGATTGACTATTTATAAAAGGGTTAGAATGGTTTCAAAAAGATTTTTATTCTCGCTTACAAGTAATATTTATAAAATATAATGCTGTTTATAACGGGATATTTAGAAGTTGTAATCAAATTGAATTAAGCTTGTCAGCTTTCATACACAGCCGAAATTTTCGATTAAAATTGAAGTGGCTGGATAGCTTCAAAATCCAGTTGATCTAAAGGCTAGGTCCGGTTTCCCTTTCTTCAATCAGTGCTTGTTCAAAACTAAAGATTTTATTGTTATATTCAGTCGCTATATGCAAGAATAATGTCGGTAAGTTTACTATTTAAAAAATTAGGTATAAACATGTAGAGAATTTGGTCAAGTTCATCTTGCAGATTCTGATAATATGAATATTATTATACAGCTTATAAATTAAAATATCATGGAAAACTGTCTGACGTCTTAGGTTTAGTAATTAATACCAACGTAAGTTAATAACAATAACAACCTTTTATTTAATAACTGAGTGCCTTATGCTTTGAAGAAGGCAGCGGTAAATTTTTGTCAATATAAATGTAAAACACATGGTGTGGTTCAAAAATAATAATTTATAATTATAATTTATTTTTCAATTAATGAACCTTTCTTTTATTTGTATGACAGTCAATTGTATCAGCTAAATATTGCAGCAGGAGCATTCCAGCACCAATCACATAGTGCCCAAGATTTAGCTAGCCCTCATAGAGAAATGATTTTATTTTATAATTAATTAATAAATTCTTCTAATAGTAAACCCAAAGCTAAATTTAAATTTATACCAATCATATTGCGAAAAATTGTTAATTATTATTATATTTGAAAAACCCAAGATATAGTTTGGAATTAGAAAGAAACAATGCTAAGATGTTTATTATCTTCATATTAATATATGTGTATATACTTATGTTGTATACCACTAAAGTTCCAGGCTCATAGCATCAGTAAGCAAAACAGTTATTATAGTATATACGATGACACGGTAGAATATTTGTGTTTGGCGACTGGTAATATAAAGCTACTTTAGTCTTTATCATAATCAGCGAGGTGGATTGACTATTCTTCAACTACATCAACGATATTAATATTCATAAATATCGAATAAATAAATAAATATAATTATAAATTAGTCTTACAGCATTTAAATTATTTGAATAATTAAATGAAATAGGCTTATCTTCAGACATCTCAAAAAGAATATTAATGCTTCTATGTTTTCTAACAACTCTAAATAGACTTGCCCCTTGTTGCAGCTAAAACAAACTTTTGTTTGATTCACAATATATATATATATTTAATATTATTATTTTGTGGGAGCAAGATGCTGAAATCCGGCTAAAGCTAACCATGATCTTTCATTGGTTGATCAGATTCTATTCTCTAACCCCATTGGTTAGTTTCAGCTTCAGCCGGATTTCAGTATCAGCCGCGACATTTATTATAAAAGCCTGGAGTTGTTATTAAAATACCGTCTCAGATTAACTAGTCTGATTTTTGCCAGGTGGTCAACTACTGGCTGTCTCTGTTTGAGGATTGGACTCACGCCCATAACCTTGCTGCAAAATTGCCCTGCATATATTAATATGTTAAGTAACGAGGTCAAGTCATACATAAATATGTATTGTGATGATGTCTTTGTACATTATTTCAATTGTATTTGTTGTATTACGTTGCTGTTGCTATTATTTACTACTTTTGACAAGTACAATGAGCAACCAATAACAAAATAAAGTTACCATTTTTGGTAAACACAAATCCTCTCTAATGCATGCATATACATTACAGCTTTCACAATAAATAGATGCGTATGATAATTAAGAGCAATGCTATTGCCCCAATCGACTGTAGATGTTATACGAACATGACATCAGTTATGTAGAACCTTCACCAAGCCTCACAATTAAGTTCGGTTAGACCCGCGGACATATAGGGAAAATGCGATATACGATAAAGCAGACTTACTGTTATCAGTTAGATTAATGTGCTCCCCCCAAAAAAAACACAAGAAAGGCATGCCAGAATGCGAGTGCCATTAGTAGTTGCGAGCGAAGCATAAGACGATTCCCAGAATGAACATCGGCTGGGATAAAAAAAACTTATTTTCAAAGAAATGACCCTCCTCCTAAACTGCGAATTTATTAAAAAAGATTCACAAGATTTATACAGGTTGCTATGACGATTATTTAACTTTTTTCCTTATGTAGCTAGCAACAAATGACATCATTGTAGTAATATTACTATTTCAATTGTTAACTGATAACGTATGTATTTTTGATAGCATGATGTGCTGTTTCAGCTGTTCCATCTGCCCACTTAGTCATACGTTTAACCGTGAACCTTGTTATATACATAAAATGTCACAACTCTGTTGCTATTATAATGAATAAATTTAGACATTTAAGCAGGTGGACACATAATAATATAAAATCCTACGAACAAAGGAGGTATCAATACAATGTGCTTTTGAAAGAAATTCCTGCATTAAAGAAAAAAAATTTTTTTTTCATGTCAGTCTGCATGTGAATTTTCATGTGTTAGCTTTTCTTGGCATTGCGTAACACAAAAGAAATAAAGGGAAAATTTTTGTAGTACAATCAATATAAAAAAAACGCCCCTCATATTAAATATTTTTACTGAGCCTCCACAGAAAGAGAAAAACCTAAAAAATACAAAGAATTATTAATGCCTTGCTGCATGAAAGGGCCGCATTGATTTTTTGGCGAATTTATTACAAATCGAAACATGTAGGTACTCAAACAAACGCATCCACTAATAAATTGCTTACGTAACAAAAATTTTTTTGAAGAAAAAAAAAAGTCACCCGTGTCTAAATACTTTTTCAGTAGTTATTGCATATCATATGATCAATCAATAATTTTCTATACGCAGTCGTTTCAACAGATTGATTGATGCGCAAAAAGGGGATGTAAAGAAACAAACAAAAAAAAAAACACTCGAGTTTGGAATCATTGCTTACACAGCCACATTTTATTGGGGGTTATACAGAAAGGGGAGTAAACGCGCGTTATCCGAATGACCCTGATCTTCAATTGTTAATTGAAATTCTATTATGAGAATCGTTTCTCTTTCGCCAAAAGGGTATATAGAAAGGGGATAGTATTAACGACATTTTCCGACGAGCGTTTCTAATAACAAAATGAGTGTGAATGATACGTGCAGTTCATTTATTTAACTACCAGAAGCAATTGATGCTTCAAAAAATCAAATCTTCAACAATCAAAAAGTAATACCGTACGTAGCAATTCATGCCTGTCTTATATATCTGCTATATACTACATTACTAAATACAAATGCAAGAAAGGCAACAGCAAGATATGTGCTCTATCATGAATAGTTTAAATCTAGTTTTATAGTTACAAGTATGCAATGAGTATAATACATCCTAACTCTAATAACATAAGTTATCATCGTCGATGGAACCTTCTCTATCACTTTCTTCACTTTCACATTCTTCATCCACTTTCTTCACAGTAGTCTATTAAACGGATGCATACAAATAATGATTAGCTATTATTTGTTAAGACTCCATTATGAAACGTGTTACTCACCTCGCGTAAACGATCTTTTGTTACCCATTCATCATGTCTCGCGTTCCATCCAATATAATGAACACGATAAATCCGTTTACCATTGATTGTATCGATCTAGAAGAAGAGAAGACACTCAGAATTAATCAAGACTGCAAACGACATACTGTGCAGACTGTACATTGGCATACGCAAGTGGTAATAAACTTTACGTTTTCTATCTTCCCTGGATACCATATCAGGTCACGTGGCCATGATATATCCACAAGGTCTCCAACCTTCCACTGCGACTTTAATACATCGGACTTAATCTCACCATCCTTATCAAAATCCTTATTGCGATTCCGAGTTTTTCCATTATTTTTTGTATTCGCGTTATGCCTTATGAACGATTTCCTGCCTTTAGCACAGACATCTTCGATAGATGTATCACTTGCTGTTTCCGAAAGACTGCTTGTCTCGTCAAACTCTACACTACTATCATAATCCACCGCAAGATCACTAGATTGTAAGTAACTGTCTGCCGAGTGATCACTCCTTACAGATACGGTAGTAACAAGGCTATCAGTATCGGACAGGTCGCTACTATCAGTATCAGACAGGTCGCTACTATCTGCATCAGACAGGTCGCTACTATCTGTATCAGACAGGTCGCTCCTATCTGTATCAGACAGGTCGCTCCTATCTGTATCAGACAGGTCGTTCCTATCTGTATCAGACAGGTCGCTACTATCTGTGTCGAAGAAACTATGCATAATTGAATTATTATCTTCCATTTCGGACAAAACGGATAGTGTTTCGGTAGAGGAATCGACGTCCTTTTTTCTAACATGTCTCCAAGACAATTCCTCTAGTAGCTTTTGTCTTTTGGAAGGCGGGAGAAAGTCACTTGAATCGTAATCGTCTTCGTAATTGGCGCTGAGCATCGAACTGAGTAAATATTGAATAAATAAAATTGGAATATATAACCAAGTTATCAAAGTTAAGATCATCAATCGTTAGGGGATGGGCGTTGATTGTCTATCATCAAATACCACAATAAATAAACCATATTCTACTCACTCAGAGGAAGTATCGTAGTTCAGACACTTCGTTCGACGCTTTCGTTCATCCTTTGATCCTACGCATCCATTCAGTGTAGATTCTTTCTCACTGGAACTATCCCACACCTCCACCATGATAACATCGTCATCTGAGCCAAGATACTCATCAACATCTAAAGATTGTAAATATTGAGTGATTCCATCTGGTTCTGTCGGATTGTCTTTGTTGCCTATATAATAAATAGAATTATCAACATATGAACAGATTACACTGAATATTTCACAAAATTGTTCACCGTCTACCTTTATCAGCAATGCATGTAAGTCCATCATCGAGAATACTCTGATCAGCATTAGAAGGCTTCATAAAGCTCTCCGGATTAAATGGTAATTCCCACCAATTTGGTCCGAATATAGGTACGAGAACTTCACGAATGTTGTAGCAATGTTCAAGAGCAAATTCGTAGGCATATTCCATTGGAAGCCTATAATAAGAAAAACACATTAATAACATTAATATAAAGAGCACCTAATGTGATGGTACAATATTCACAACACAACAAACACGTACCATTTCCCGGAAATCTTCGTACATCCACCAACGTGTGTCACCACTGTCGAATTCCATTGGGGCACCGATGAAATCGCTGCATGAAGGTGACGCGTTGACTTGCCTGATGCCTTCCATAAAAAAGTCACATTTACGATGTTTCTGTCAGTGTCCCAGCGAATCCAATAATCGTTCCATTGATATTCACAAACTGATATTTAACGGTAAGACATAGAGATTAAGAACAAAAAACGCGAATTGTCACATTGTTTTGCTTTCTAACCGATCCCTTACCTGTTGTATATTCTTTATGAGATCCTCTCGTAAAACAATATTTATTTTGTTGTATCTCAAATTCAAGTCCCGCCAAATCAAGTTCCGCCAAAGGAAGATTATCTGTTACGGGAACAGATAATAACTCGGAAGAATCCGGAAGGTTACTCGAAAGTTTGCTTCGCTTCCCAAACTGGACAGGCGGATTAAGGATCATGGGTGGTGGTGCCTATAGAAATAAATAAAATAAGAGACGCTAAGAATATTGTTATATGCTCGTGCATTAACCAGCACTCGCAACCAACCTTCTTTCCCGGTTCACGTCTCAACGGCCACGGATTCCCAAAAATTCTGTAATGCCTATCGCATCTAAAACATAAACTATCCGTAATCAAAAACGTCTCTTCTTCGCAAGTCTGACACTCTCCTCTTAATTGTCCAAATCGCAATTTTGGCCTTATTATCACAGCATCATTCTTCTTCATCCTCACATCTTTTGTTCTTGCGTTCATCGGCGAATTATTCCCAGAGATACCTGTTTCGGTCAGATCGGTCGAGACATCAGAAAGAGATGAACCAGAGTCGGAAAACAGATCACTGTAATCGTTGGCTTCATCAGACGCGCCGCAAAGATATGCGATAGACATACGAGATGAGGAGCGGGAATCGTCATGATATCCAGACTGAAAGATAGGTTGTAATGAGAACGCTGCTGCGTCTTGGGAAAAGTAAGAGGGTGGCGGGGGGGGAGGTATTGAGTCTGACCAGGCACTATCACAGGACGAATTGAAAGAATGTGTTACTGGGAGTGAGGTGGCAGTAAAGACTGTATTTGCAGGGAGGTAGCAGGAAATCGTGTTTGCAATATTGGGTTGCACATCGACCGGAAGCTGGTCAGTAGCATCTGACGAAATTGAATAGGTAATATCTGGATGAAGATAGTCCCTGACTTCGGTAGTAAGTGCCGCAGCCGGCGCTAGCGGTTGTGGAGATTGTATTAATGTTGGTGGTTTGGGAGGAGATGGCGGTGGAGGAGATGGTACTTTTGGTTTTGTTACACCTACGAAAAATAAAGCTAATTTGTAAAACGACTAGAACCACTTGAATACAATTATGATCGACTTGTTGATCAAACAATACCATTGTCAATAGACCTCCTCCTCCGTAACATTTGCCGTGTGACTCGTTGCGTCTCAGGTGCTATTACATTGTCCAGATTGTCAATGTCGTCTCCCGATCGAGCGAATCCACCTCGTCGATTTCTGTGAAAAAAAAAAGTTAGTATTTCCGACTGATAATTCAGATGACATAATCCATTACTCGACGTTAAACAACAACAGTTTGCGCACTAACCTTTCACAGCTAGAACACAAACACTCTCTATTATTATCTCCGAAATAGTCTTCACCGTAAAAACAGAAAATTTCTTCCCCTATTTTAATGTCCCGGCATACTTTGAAGGATACAGCATTCGATGCCTGGCTTTTTCGGAAGAACTAGTTGGTGACCCGCGGGAAGGGGGGAGATGAAAAGTCGAATGAAAAAAAAAAGATTGTCAACAGAAATAGATATGAGCGAAAAAAGAAAAAAAATGTCAATCGTACCTCCACGTTGGGCTGGCAATCGTGGTTGACGAAACGTCCAGGGCCAAGAAACAAGCTCGACTTGTTCCTTTGAGACATATAAACAAACATTAGTTCAATTTACACTCGAATTACTACCAATTCAATATCAATTCCATTAGACTCTTTTCCTCAACACCCCCCTCTTCCTTCCCCGACAACCACCCTTTCCCCACTACCCTTTACTCCACCCTCTTCCCTTCCTGTCTCAACCGTTTCTCATGCTCACGCTTCTACTAAAGGGTTGCCTCATACCTGTTAGATGAGTACATGATCGTAAAGTCACGTCCTTCTTCGATGTCTCTCTCTTCGTCAGCTTCAAGAGGCACCAGAGTCCCCGAGCAATGAACCAGCTGGTCTCCTACGCTAAGATCCTTCGTTGCTATTACACAAGCTTCAGGTTTTCCAGACCTCGCTTCGTACCTTATAGTCTGACTCACTTCAAAACCTGCATCAGGTCGGTACATTGATAAGTACCGCCGTGCATGTCTTGGTGGAAGAAAAAGAAAAGGTAAATAAAAAGGCCGACAGGCTAAATCAAGACAAACTAAACTCAGCCTATAGGAGAATAGTGAGCACTTACTGAGAGAATTGCTGCCTACTCCGCTCATCTAGATCTTCAAAGCGTTCGGAAACTTCGGGAATCCTGGTATACGACAGATCGCACCAGTCCAATATAAACAACCTAATCGCCAAGTGTAAAGAAAATCAAGTTCCTTTTACCGACCCTGAGCTTCCCTCAACTTACTCCAACAGTGCGCCAAGAGCCGACTTCTCGTCTTTCCGCTCCACAACATGCTTCTTTATAATCTCATGTATAAACTCCTGCGATACCTCAAACGAAGCAAAGTTGTCCTGTATCTTTCTCGATTCAAACCAAAGGTATAACTTGTCCAGCAACAGATATGAACAAAAGTCGTCGAACTCTGACAGAAGCTCTAGCGGGGTACGCGAGTTGCTGCCATTTTTTAGAGTAGACATCTTCTATATCGAATGCAGTGCGATGTGAAGAAATATGCCTTCAAGGTAAGCGGGAAGACAATTAGAAGCTTGAATCGGCAACAAGCTTCTCTGGGTGAAGACCGGAGACACGTAACAAAAAATCAGGGTTCGAAAATAAGCAGATTGAGCAGTATTTGTTGTTTAGGATTGCAAATGAAACGGAAGGTGATAATAGCGCGTGCTCCGGTTGCATTAGGCAGGCACAGTTTTTCAGAGAAAAGGATTGGTTGTCATGCTTATCACATTCCCTCGTAAATGTAACGAGGGGAGATGGTGCTTCGATTTATTGCCTATTTTGGATTAGCCATGTGTTCAAAGGGAAATTAATCATACATCCATCAATGAAAGAAAAACTTCCCATTAATATTAATATGACAACTACCAAGTCTGCTCAGGCATTTTCGAGAAAAGACTTACCAAACGACAACCAATGACTTTAGCTTTCAAGAGTAGGAAAAAGATGAAACTTTGAAAACTCAACGGGCGAAGTTGCATGGCCGGTTGTTGAGGCGATTGGTGACGGTAATGTTGTTAGTCGAATACGGGACAACGATCGAAGTTAAGATAGTAATAGTATCCAATATTGTGCAAAGGAAGGAGGTGACAGATGCGACACTCGAGCCAGAGAAAGTGGGAACCGATGAGTCCAAAAAACTCGATAAATCGAGAAGATGATATTCATGTGGAAAAGAGAAGAATCATTTCAAACGAGGAATGACTCTTTCACCGTGCCATTATCTTTTGCGACTCTTTCCCTTCCTCAATCCCATCTTCGTTTACAGTTAACTGGTGCTGACCCCTCTGCGCTGAAGCGGATACAGGCTACTCGACAAGTCAAAGATCATAGGAAGAGATAGCTTATTCGCTTGCCAAGGTCTTCGTTTGTTAAATTTCACATAAGCCGAATTATACAGATGGTACATACACTGTCGGTTTCTAATTAAATGTTATAATTTCAGAATTTCAAATAAAATTGATAAATCAATACCTTCATTGATTTCTTTGGCTGGCATGATATTAGGTAAAATTCTCGCTTTTGCCATTTGTGTCTAATTGTCTTGGCAGATTCAATACTTCACGAATGTTGACTGATCTGAGCACTTTTAGCAATACATGGTTGAAAGGCGCGCCGAGACACAATCGCATCGAATTAGTTTCCTTACGACGTTCGCCAAGCCCATCGCGCGTCGCATTCTTCCTGCTCCGCTTGAGTACATACAACTGAAGTGCTATAGAAACATGAGCCATTAAACTAATTCTGTGTTCCATGTGGAAGAAGGGTTAAAAATTGAAGCTTATATCTATGTTGCAGAGTTCTGATAATAAAAAACTGCAGGTACTTTGTCTTTTCCGTTTAGTGGTTGTGGATTTACGAATGAACAGAGTATTCAACTCTTTTCCGGTAACACTTACCGCAAACATTACGGTGATCCTTGGCTTTCTGTCATCTTGTATGCTAAGATCAAGACAATAAAAAGTGCCACAATTAAAAGCAGGTTCAAATTGGATATGGTTGAAGAAATTTCTATAATTCGTGCGCCGATCTTCCAAATTGGCTTCACCTTACGACAACATTATGAAATTTGTAAGCCATCCAGTAGAAACTTTGAAAGTTATTAACCTTCATCATTGTGAACTTGAACTGTTGTGGTTTAACTTTCGATATTTCACCAGTAAGAACTTATTCATCGGGTACAGCCACAGAGCGGTTGATTTAATGGTTTGAAATCCCAAACGGCGACTTTTGTCTAAGGCTAACCAATGCTGGGGATATCACGAATATTATTCCAAAACTCGGCCAGAAGTTCGTCCAGTGTATGGTTAGGATGTTCTCGTGCTTTAATATAAGGAACTTGCTTTCGAGGCCATCAGCGACTTTTTTTTCATATCTCACGGTGTTTTCACCTTTGCATTGCTTTAATATTGATAATAGCTTTTGAAGAGGCACTTGTACAGCTTTCTCATAATCGTTCATTCTGAAAATTAAAGTCGTTGTAACAAATGTCAAAAAACAGAACTGGATCTAAACAAATCAATTTTTTCAGTAAATGCTTATCCCAACTTTTGTAACTGGAAAAGACATTTGATGACAAGCAAACTGATTTTTATTTTCTGAGAACAGGCTGTTTTGCTTCGATGAACAACTCTGGTATGTGAAAAGATTGTTTTCTATGGTCGTTAGAAATCCGATCACGCGATTCACAGTAACGAACCAATCATATATGGTCATATGATTGATTTGAAATAAAAAATTATTTAATCGGCTGAGCAGTATAAAATTTTTTTGGAACACTACGATTTCGGCTTTGGTCTAATGAGTTTACCTTCTAGCGAGATATCAAGAGATAAGCATGCGCCAAGATATATCGTTTTTGTCGGTAGGATATTTGGGTATAAACATCACGAATTTTTCTACAAAAAGCATTCCAATAAACTTGTTTCAATCAATCAATTTAGCCGGCTTAGCCCATAACACAACGAAAGAAGAATTGATCAAACATTTTGAAGCAGCCTGTAAGCAAAAAGTTATTCAAATGATCTATATAATTGGCTTGAATGCTCGTCACTGATTTAATTTATTATCATACTAATAGGTGGGCCATCTTCAGTTCGAATTATTACTGATAAACATACAAAAAAAGCAAAGGGATTTGCGTTCGTCGAATTTGATAATGTTCAATCCATGAAAAATGCTCTTCGTTTCCATCATACGATATTCAAGAAAAGAAAGGTTTGACGATGAATAATTCTTTACTTGTTGTCGAAGCAACTTATGATGATCCCATTTTCACCTTAGATAAGAGTGGAATTAACTGCTGGAGGTGGTGGGAACAAAAGTGAGACAAGACTCAATAGATTACGGGAAAAGAAGGAGAAATTGGAGAAGGAAAGGGTGGGCGTATAGATACAATGAAATTTAAAAATTTTTTTGCTTAATTCCTTATGAAAAGCTAATACTAAGACGTGTTAATAATTTAGCGGAAATATCACGAGACCCACGTTGCACCCTTAAAGTTGCAATCGGATACTAAGGCTGAATCACATCCCCTCCCGCAACGGCCGACTGAGCTGCAAAGGGAACGTAGTAGAAATAAATACAACAAGCCGAAATATGGGCGCAAAGTGCAAATTGAAGAAATGAGAAAACCGAGGAATATCCAAGGAGCTAATGCGATATCCGTCGACAAACCAAGGACATTTAGCAACCAGTAGATATTTATGTTGTATTTAAAGAAGAGTCTCGTGTTGGTTGTATATCATCTACTTTACTAAAAAAAAAACAAACGTCGTGACATAGAAGTTGACGTGTGCAAAACCGGATAGTGATAAATCGTATCAGATAAGCATGGATATTTTTGTATTCGTACTTCATATATCCACTATGACATGGACCTTCCAAATGTCAGTTACAGGAAGAAATGAGCTCCAAAACCCAAACGAGATTATGTGGAAATGACTAGCGACCGAGCTTGTATTGAGATGTTTGAGGAACATGTTTGCCCAATAATTTCGGAAAGTGAGACCACGGCTAAACTTCCGCCTTGCAACTTTCTTTTTATAAGATTTGTTTCTCGCGTGGAAGCATGAAGTTTTCGCAAGGCAACTTAAGAAAAATTCAAAAGTGGCACCACAAAAAAAAAGATGGCCAAGTTATCATATTAATGTCATCTGATATCGTACGGGTTGGATTGACATCATGACGTTTGACCTTTTGTCTGACAGTTTATGCGGGGCATCGCCATAGCCAACAAAGTTGAAATACAAAGTGACCATACCTTCTTCAAAATCCAAACTTGCCGACTATTGGGGTAATAGCAAAAATTCTTTATGAATGGAATATGTGAAAAATGAAAGGCCCATTTACACATTGGACGAAATGCAAAGTTTACTAGAAGGGAGTGAACGTCTTTAAAAAGTTTTTAGCTCGACCATTCGAACGTAATAAACAAACGATGGATCGTTTGGAGGTTTTTTTATCGAACGAGTCCCTTTTACCACTCTAAAATTCACTCTAATTTTTTACCAATTTACTTGTTAAAATCAATAATTTTCTGGTCTATCAAGCAATTGGTGATAAAAAGCTGTCCAATGATAAGGATGAACTAAGAAACACTATTAACCAAGCAATAGGTTTTGCTGAAAAACGGATCCACGTCTCCCCAAATTTGTACCGAGGTTGGCACGCATAAATTTAATTTGATATACTGTAACAATAGTTAAACGTACAAAATTATTATTGATCAAGCCTTTGACATGATACAAAGTCTGCGCGGAATGGGGCCTTACGCGATGACGAGACGTCATTGGACAAACAAGAAATCGCAGTAAGAGGAAATTTAAATACACTAAAAGCAAGAGAAAATATGGGTTTCATTTGTTATTACTTCATTTATCAATACAAAATTAATTCGTTCAAGTTTGCTATCTGATTCAGCAGGAACAAGTAACAAGAGATTAAAAATGGTTAATCCCTCACAACATGTATAATTAAAGGTATTACATTAAAGCCTGAAAGTATTGGTTTCTGTTACAAAATTTTTTTGTTGATTCTGTTTTCTTACAGTAAGGTGCATAAGTAATTGGCCCCTCGTAATTTGGGATGGGAATGAGCAAACACTTTGAAAATTTCACTGGATATAATAATAATATATCACAAACACTGATCTACCTGTAAAATTTCAGCTCGATTGAAATGTCACCTGCAAATTTTTTTAAACGTCCAATATTTGTCTCTAAAATATATCAAAAGCTGTATTAATATGTATCTCCTGTGATGCTACGCTATAATAATAAAAGGTGACGTATTCTCTCCTGACTTTCTGCATTGCTCCGACGGTCCAGCGCATGGTATAACAGCAGTTGATACAAGCATCGCTGTAAAAGCAACAAGAATAATAGTTAGATAATTAGTAATAGCTGCTAAAAATAGATCAATTAGTCCGCTCGAAAGATATATATAAGTAGCGCAGATTTCGGTTAGAGGGTGAGTCAATAAGCGCATGTTTAGAATGTTCTAATTACTCTCGATTAGAATTTTTGTCGTGTTTGCGTTTTTTCTAATCCCAGAGTGGGTAATAACCCTTTATTGTAAATAAATGAGTAGTTCTTTATACTCTGAAATACATTGTTAATGATTCATTCCCTGGTAACTTATCGGTATAGCTGAGAAATCGCTAATCCCTATATCGATAAAGAATAATCGCCTCTTGTCCCGCGATTATTCGAGTGGCAAATTACGATAATTAATTGTTATGTAGATACGCATTATTATAATTAAAACACTATTGTACCCCAACGGTAGACTAATAATTAATCCCAACTTAGGAGCCGACAGAGTTACTCGAGTACAATTAATATATCCAGGATTAGCGTCACTCTACGGCGGGAAGGTTTTCATAAGTTCAAAGCCTTGATTAGACAAGGTCCACTAATTGTAACCCGAGATTTACCTAGAGAAGGAGACGCCACGCTCTGCCGAAACTAACTAAATTTCTAGTTATTACTTGCACTCCCGTGATAGTCGGCACGACACTCCACATGTTTCTAATCGATTTTTTTTTGTCAAATCTATCTCCACATGCCCTTTGGGTGGTTATAGGTTAGTTGAATTAGAACGAAATCATTGTTATACTTGACAATAATGAATGCGCATGGTATCAATCCATGTTCTACAATCATTTGCTTTTCAATTTATGGAAAATTCACAGAACAAGAAGGGCTTCATTATAGAAATAATATAAAAAAAATTCTGGTGAAACTATTTGCATCTTTAGTGTATGAAAATTAGAGGAGTTTTGTTCCTGCAATGGGCAACCCATCAAAATATGCAAATTTGTATTCTTTATTCTCTGTCAATACACATAAAAATTGATATCTAGCCAGTTGTGTTCCAAGTTATGCAAAAAGAATGTAAGAGTTACAGAATTATTAATATTAATATCACTATCAATATGGTAACAGATAATATGTGTTGTACTATATTCAATAACTGATGTTAACATTGTTGTGTTGTTGTTATTATTATGCCATATATTGCATTACTGTTATCAGACTGTTATCATATGGGGCAGACTACTGATAAAACGAAATCCAACCGTCCCTAATTGTAAATAAACATGATTTACCCTGCATAACGTCCCTGAAAATCGACGATCGACATCGATATATGGATTTAATGCATAACGAAACATCGTTAGACTTTTGTCATA